GATATTATAGTGAATTATATAGTGAATGGGTAATTCCATACCAAATCACCTACCTAGAGGTACATCTCCAGGTCTTTGTTAAAAATCTACCGAAACTTTGCTTTATATAAATAATGGGGAAAAAATACTTACGACGTGGGTAGGAGACTCCATGTTGTCCGACGGGAAGGTAATTTACTTTCGACTCCTGCTGACGTCGCCGTCACTGCAGTCACCATCTGTACGCCTGTCATCATAATAAGCACTGCAAATCACATAATATAAATACATAGCAAACCCGCACTCGAAAAAGTAGACACCCAGCGAGAGATTTACTGTCGGGGGAATATTATTCTGGCAAACAATGCCGAAGAATTCGGCTTCGAAGAACATTAATATACAAAATAAACATTACTAAATTATAATATCAATATAGGGGCCTATTAATTATCATTTCGTAGTGTTTACTTTGTAAACAGAAAATGACAAATATTTTTCTACATCTGCTATCTAGATAACCAGGTCTCGGGAGACAAGGGACGATCTCTAATAAGTTAAGTTCTACTAACAACAGAATACAAGTTAAAATTACCGTAAAGATTGTATTACTTACTCCATTCCAAACGTTTTTTTCAGATTTTTTTTTACCCAAGCAGCGTGACCAGAACTTCCTTTATATACATACTGTACTGTAATTAGATAGTAACATCACAAAGGTGACTGGAATTTGCTGTTGCTTTACAGAGTTCTGACTGGTGATTCATTTTAGTCGTTCTCGTCGCCACTCGCGGGAAAATGTTGTGAGAATTATACCGTAAAACCTCGAAAAAAGAGCCATGGGCTTCTTTTTTAGGTCCCACCGGATGGGCTTTTTTTTTTTTTTTTTTTTTTAGAGATGGGATTTTTCGTGATTATTTTTTGCAAAGTAAAGAGGAGTGCTTCAAAATGATTTTGGAAATGTACTATACATTTTTCAACTATTGAATTCAAAAATGATATATTTATATTTTTTTAAAACTTGTAACCATGGTAGTATGGGACTTGCACATTGGGGTCTGTCTCACGCGTAAGGACCATCTCGCGCATAAATATAATGCCATATTATAAAATAGGCCTACAGGTCTCCCTCCAAATAAAGAATCCTCTAATTACAGACCCACATCTACATCCCAGGTTAAATGCCTTTCTTTTATCATTAGCTGTTCCCTCAACTGAGTAACCAGATCTCCCAGATGTGTCCAACTTGGGACCTATTGAGTGCAGGTCTTTAATTGAAGAAGAATTCTATTATAGACCAAAGACGATTGGTTTTTGCCGACCAAATTCAACATTTTCTATTTATAAAATATAATTTTGGTGCAGTTACATACATACAGCACATCAAAAGCCGATGTTTTGGGTATAGAGTGCTCCATATTGAATATCAATAGTCTTACTAGGACGTTGAAGTTTATATTTTTATAATTAAATGGATATTTGTGCAAGACGAGCGCAGGACTTGATGTGTAGCTACCAAGAAATGGTACATAATGAATCAGTAACAGCATACAGTAACACATTCTAAAACACTTGGAAGAAAACATTAAAACATTATGTTATCACGGTTTTGACAGACCCAACTAAAAATGTTTTTCTCTTCATAAACATATTAAAATATATAGCAATTTCAATGCAGTTTTCAAACTATCGAATATCTTAGCTGTCCCTACCCTTCTGTAGAGAGCATGTACTACTGCTGAACTTGCGGAGGAAAATGACAACGCTAGGATAATGTTAGACTTGCCCCAAGTCTCTAATTTATTGGTTTTTCATAGAGAGACTAGGTATAAAGACTATAAAGACTTTCGAAGAGCGCCACCAACGTCTGCTTATATCGAGAAACCTTTTAGGTAAGCGTTATATGGGCACCATTTCCGTCCGGTCATGAATAATTAATGTAATGGCATATTTAAATATTCATACGAGACACGCTACATTTTTAGGAATTAATCCCAGAAAAAGTATACTATGGAACGCCATGCAAATAAAAATATGGAACGCCAATGGTGCCAAAATCGATTTATTTTTAAGCATTTTCACTGATTAAGACAAAGTTTAGGGACTGGAACCCAGTCTAGGATAATGTGTGCGGTCACGGCATTTTCGGCCCTCTAGATGTGATCTAGAGGTTCCATATCATAAAATTTCTTACCTCAGCCCGACCTCTATCCGTGAAAGTCCCTCACTGATCCCCCTCTAGTATTATGAATTTCTTGATCCCCTACTGAGAGAGGACCTGAAATGCATGTATTCTGAAGTTCAGGGGAAAATCCAGATCCTGAATACATTTCTGAGCATTTAGAAAAAACAAAATTCCGGGAGGGTGGAGCTGAGGTAATATAGACCCTCCATCTGTGAAGGTATCTTTCTGGGCCCCCTCTAATTCAAATTCCTTGATCCACCATTGCCTGCTCTATGTGGCATCTGCTACAAAGTATTAGTTAATCAAGAAAAAACAGAAAGACATAATTTTATTCATTTTTATTTATTTCAACAATCTTTATATAGGGTGACCCTTCCAGCTAAACTGATATTTATTGGCCCTCTACATCATCCCCGATAAAATCAGGTACAATACGAACAGCAACCTTACCTACTGGACTGTAGGCCTATATTTATATTAGTACCATAGTTTGGGCCTGACTGACATGGAAATAAACGATTGTTACGTTAATTGACCCGTATCATTTATTGACCAGATTAAAACTGCACTCACATTGGAGCCGAACACAAATTCAGACTGCGTTCTCCGAAGCGCTAAACGCCAGTGTCATTCTTACACACTGATTACACTTTTTGCTGAATGGTTCGTTAGGCTTTCCGATCAGGATCCGGTATTTGCAATGTTTTCTATAGAGGTATTCTGAACGTTTAACACATTAAAATAAAAAATAAAAAAATAAATAAATAATAAATAAAAATGTAAAAAAACAAATGTAAAAAAATCATTTCTCTAACTGAGGTATGTATACAGAAGTTGTGACCAATAAGGTTCTGCCATTAAGATTATCAGTTAGTGTATCGGATATCGATACATATGTTTGTGTGGTAATAGCGCCCTCTGTACTATTGCTAGGATTTAACATCCATTTTGAATTTTATCATGATGAATTAAAAGTGTAGCGGTGTATACAGTATTCTACTATACATATATAAAAAATGACGACAGCACTTTTAAGACTAACTTGAGAATAAATTTTATACAAGTTAACCTTAAAAGTGCTGTTGTCATTTCTTATTTTATTTATCGAAACTTTGAATAATTAATGTTCTCATTTGCATTTCTGAAGCAGTTTCATCCGAACCGGTTGACATATGACTGCAAGAAAAATTGAATACAGTAGGCCTAAATAAAACAGTCGAAGCCAGTAAAATTGTTAATGTGTCTATTGATCTGCATATAAAAGCTGCTATGATGGGGCAGTTGCAGTCAATCGGGTAAACGTCAAAGTAAAGCTCAAACGGACGTTACCGTTACAATAGAATTCGGACAGACATGGATTAAATAAATTAAAGACATGGATAGAAACATCATCAGATATAAAAATTTTCTAATCCCGAAAATGGTAGCCATGTTGAAGGAGGGGGGCTTCAAGCTGCATAAATTCCTCGAATTCAACGGCAGTATTGAAAGACTTACCAGATGATTGCATCGCATCGTATATCATCCAGGACTGAGAATTCGCGAAGTATGTTCTCAGGGACCCTACTAGTGACCTATTCACATTTAAAGGCAAAATTTGAAAGAGAATCCTACGACAAGACGCATTCTATCAACTGTACCTGCTGTGCTTGATTCACCTGAATGAATTGGTCCCCACATTGAAAAAGATTGTCCACCTTCTACACAGTGGTGTATCTAAGGAGTGTGAGGGGGAAACACACAACTAAAAAAAATTGGGGGCCCCCCATTAAGAATGTCTGAAGCAAAAAAATCATGTAAGTAGATAAAATTCACCTCATATCATCATACTTGCAAACTAGCGCCCTCTCAAGTTGAACACTTCACCTTCAATTAACATTCATTTTTAATTTATCCAAACTTTGAATGATCGATGTTTCTCATTTTATGTCTGAATTTCTGATACAGTGACCTGAAACAAATTTTACGATACAGCTTGACATATGGGGCAATACAGATTGAATAGGCCTATTAAAGCAAATACGTTGGGACAGCTACAATCAGAATTTGGTGGTCCCCGCTAAAAAAGATGCAATAACAGGAAACCAGCCGACTGATATTTCATTGTGAAGATGAATCAAATTAAAAGAAAGAGCCTCCACACTCTTGCACAGGACAGCTTCAGTCTTCAAAGCATTCACGAGAAAAATCAACATTTTGAGGCGAGTCGAATGGCTGAGCGGTTAGCAGGGGCGTCAAAAGCTATAGCCATAATATTGGCGCTGGTTCGAACGGCACGCTTGTCTATGGTTCTGGTGGTAGAACAAGTCTTCTTGGATAAGGACTATAAACCGTAGGCCCAGTGTATACAATGGCTTGTGTGCACTGTAAAGAACCCAGTACATCCTTCTAGACAAGTAGGGGGATACCCCGGTGTACTGGAACAGACAGCCCCTGAGGTGGACCACGAGAGTTGCTGGTACCGGGTTACCGGCTAGCACAGACACGGAGGGACCCTTAGGGGCGAAGAAAGTCATTGATCGAGTTCCTAGTCCACACATCAAGCGCCATGAGTATCTTGCATTGGATGGATATGTGCGCTATATAAAACTACATTACTGTATTATTATTATTATTATTATTATTAATATTATTATTGGTCTAGAGGTATGATGCCAGGCTAGTGATCTGGAGATCGTGGGTTCGAGTCCCACCCAAGAACAACTTGCGATTTTTTTCGCAGTTGTTTTCAAATGTACTGAGTATTCGGTACATTTCCACGTCAGGTAGGGCAAAATTACACCTATACATGTTTCTCCTGACGCAAATCCAGTTATTGTCTATTATTCCATCACGACAATAACAATTACTATTATTATTATTATTACTTAAAAAAAACCCCACAAAACACAAATCTTTAAAGAAATACCTACAAATACGAAACAGATAAACATGATCGGTAAAGTGGTAGTATAATCATCTTCTTTTACCTCACAAATCCAATAAACAAAGTACATTAAAATCTTTTGTTAAATATTAAAATGTAAAAAATTTTATCTTGTTTTAAATATCTATTTCTGTTTAGAGAAATAAAAGTTTTTTTTACATTAAAATGTTCACCAAATTTGATTTGATAAATTTGATAAATGTTAATGAGCACGATAGCAGTTGTTGAATTTCATCATGACTACGATCATCACATTCGAATCTGGTTCACAACCTGTAATTCAACAAAGATAAAATTCTTGACAATTTTATCATATTTATCATTAAAATCACTGTACATTCAGGCATAATTATATCACCAAAGTGTATTTGAAATGAAAGATGTACTACAATGAGACAGGGGGCACCCCAAAACTTGAACATGCATTCTTTATACGCAATATGTGTTCGATATGAATGCCTTTTATGTTTTTTGAAGGACGTCCTTCCTGTTCATTGTAGTACTTTTCGATATAGAATTGCATTCTTAACGAAACCCCAAAAGTCGAACCTCATGCACTTTCATACTTTTTACATCACCTTCTATATAGCTCATTTTAGACCAAATATAACCACCCAACTTTACAACAGATCTGTGATTTCTGGTCATATGATTGGGTTCTCAATAATACATCATCGGCCTCAACAGCAATGGTGGCACCAGGATTTGCCCATTTGGAGGAAAGAGCAATGTCCACAACAAGGAGGGTGATGCTCCAGATTAGGGTATAATTGGCAGAAGATTTACAATATAATATTTTTGGATGATTAAATAAAATTTACTTTAAAAAATTCAAATTTAAAATGTTAAAAAATTTCAGAGCAATTTGGAAAAATCGAACAAATAAGTCTTTAAAACCACAAAATTTTCAAAGTTTTCCCTAGAAAACTTCCGAGAGATTATAAGTGATGCCCGGACTACACCCACTTATGCTCTCGTCGGGGATATCGGACTCCCCAGCAAAATATAATTAGATGTGTTAAAAAAGCTTATTCGACCCGACCTCCCGGAGGTGGACTCTCCTAACTTAGACCTCTGCAACAACACCAACATAAAAGAGACATATGATTACCTTATGAATAAATACCAACTGGTTTGTGTTCAACTCTTCTTAAGATTAATACTTGAAAAACCTAAGAATAAATAGAGAATACATTTTAGAGTTTTTAGAGTCGTGATAAATATTAACATCATTAATGTCATTGTCTTCAATATCACCATCATAAACAGCATCATCATCATCACCACCTGCCTCTTTCACCACTCATTTAGAGTGGTGTACGGTGAGTTACCATCCTCACCACCACCACCAAGCTTAGTCGGCTAAACTGGTGGTAACCACCATGTGTGCCCTGAACCGTGGAGATCCTTGGTCCAGACATGTTATCAGCTACCAAAACACCAGTCCAGACCTCAATGACAAGGTACTGTATGTGAGATAATTAAAGCAACAGGGTAGCCCCTACACAAAAGATGTCCTGGGTCTTTTAAGTGCACATACAGTAAGTTCTGTACACTGGATCTCTTATCATAGAAACGAGAACAATCTGGAACTAGAGTCGATGTTGAGGTTACAGATCGTGGCACCCTTGCCTTACTGCTCTACCACCTGAATCAAGCTTCAATTGCTTGATCTAAGGATATCCAGTCCAGTACACACACGGTGGCTATCATACACCTCTCCATTATCCACAGCAGCATAGCTGAGTCGGCTAAACTGGCGGAAGTCACTGCTGGTTCGCTGAACCGTGGAGATATTTTGGTACCTGGTTCAAATCCGTCCACTGATTTCCTTGTTTCAATTAGCCGACTTGCATGCAAGTATAAAAAATACACAGTCTTTAGGATGAGACATATAAGCCATAGGGCTTTGGTGGTGTTCACACTGAATAAATCTAATTGACTCCAATTACACATAACACTACCATTACCTATATTGTTTGGATCCTTGTAAGCTGCACAGATACAATAATGTGTCATAAGCTGCTCTAGTAGTTCTGCCTCGTCAAGAAATTCCAATCGTACAATTCTGTCTAGATCGGGCAAACTTTGATAAAACTCCATCATATCAACTGCACGACTACTTTCCCATCCACTTGACGTGAACCGCTCTTCCTGTAAAACAAAACATGAATGCAAAGAAAGTCAATGACACCAAACGAAGTAAATGATAAATAATCTCTCCTCAACTATGATTTCGTTCTAGTGGGCTTTATCTTTAATTATAGCTTTAGTGTAGAGGCGACTAGATAGTTGCCTGAGTCTAATAGAGTCTAGACCACCTCAGCCCCACCATGGTTTGGGCTAAGGTGAGAAAATTTATGATTTTGGCACCTCTAGATGGCTGGAAATGGCATTCTCATACCTGGATTTGATTAAATTTTCTTATTTTCTTCATTTTAAATAATTTTGAAACATTTGGGGGGGGGGGGGGGGGGCGGGCTCTGCTTGTACATCATTATGGCATTTGTGAATTATATGTCAGCAAACACCTTATTTTGAAAACAAGAACAGCCTCACAGAAACACTTAAAATAAAATAAATGGGAACAATAAAAACACATGATTTGTTTGATCAAATGTGTTTAAAATAAGCAAACACTGTCAAAGTCTAATCAGTCAACAACCTTATAATGTTATGCCATTTTTACGTACCTGAGTTTTTAAACTAGTGCACGGTTCAATTCCACATAAGTCACATTTACGGCCTCGGAGATTGTTAACCATTACCTGCCCGAACCGGTCCTGCATGTTCACTTGTTCATAATTAATAAAGAACACCGAGTCAAACTTTCCTGAGATCCAGGACAGTAGTTCGCTTGACTTGGCAGCTGACATGTACACCAGCACACACTCAGCAAGGAACAGTGTTGGTAAACTGCAGGGAACCAAATACAGTTGATTAGTAAATTGTTTACCATCATATCATATTAATACTTGCAGTACACCACATGGATAGTTCTGAAAAGCACTGTTGTGGTTGGTTGAGAATATCTTGACGTTTCGATTGAGTTGCTTCAATCGTCTTCAGGAGAATAGTATCTGGAGAAATCCCAAAACAGTGAAATACTTGGATGGACCGTCATTGAACATGATCCGTTGCGTGCGCATGTGTTGCATTCTCCATAGAACTGCGTTGGTCGACACCCATTGGGGGCAGTGAGTGACTAGGTCTTACTTTACCACACAGCAGGATTAGGATGTTTGTCTTCAGGAGCGGATTGCTATAAGCGGTCTTCAGACAGTCTTAACATTTAGCCGGCTATAATTGTGACGTCACTACTGGTCTATGATTATAGACCATTGCTATATCGCGGTCTAACCAGTTAGCCGTCTTAAATTTTAAAGCCTACTCGGAGGAGGCTTAAAACGGTCTTAAATCATTTTCGTCATGGCTTCTGCTGATTAATTCAACAGTGCAACGGCAAGACCAGGGCCTAGATCGTCAAAGTCGGAGAATCGAACGACAAATACTCCGCACACATCTCAGCGTCTGTAAAAATAGGTCTACATTTATTTACGTTCATTTTGATACATTTTGCCTGCGTCGAGCACGCATGATTTCGCCCTCAATCTTACGTTACCAAGGAGTGATTGTTTGCGTTTCAATACTCAAAGCGGTCTTAGGGAAGACTTATTTATAGCAATGGTCTTAGAGGAATGACTTTAGTAAGACTATTTAAGTGATAAACTCGGCTTTATTTGAAAAGTTAAGACTACCAGTTAAGACTGTTTTATAGCAATCCGCCCCAGGTGCACAGAACAATTAAATTGACATAATAAAAAACATAAAATCTTGCAAAAAATAATGATTACAATGATGTACAGTATATTGTATTATGAGAATGTAAATATAAAAGGAAAATTCTTCACCTGTTATCAATTCCACAACTTTTTAATTTGTCTTCAAATTCTTCTAAATTTCGCAAATCAGCCCATACTATGTGATAATGCTTGTCTCTTATACACATCTAGATGTGTATAAGAGACAGGAATAAATCTAATTGACTCCAATTACACATAACACTACCATTACCTATATTGTTTGGATCCTTGTAAGCTGCACAGATACAATAATGTGTCATAAGCTGCTCTAGTAGTTCTGCCTCGTCAAGAAATTCCAATCGTACAATTCTGTCTAGATCGGGCAAACTTTGATAAAACTCCATCATATCAACTGCACGACTACTTTCCCATCCACTTGACGTGAACCGCTCTTCCTGTAAAACAAAACATGAATGCAAAGAAAGTCAATGACACCAAACGAAGTAAATGATAAATAATCTCTCCTCAACTATGATTTCGTTCTAGTGGGCTTTATCTTTAGTTATAGCTTTAGTGTAGAGGCGACTAGATAGTTGCCTGAGTCTAATAGAGTCTAGACCACCTCAGCCCCACCATGGTTTGGGCTAAGGTGAGAAAATTTATGATTTTGGCACCTCTAGATGGCTGGAAATGGCATTCTCATACCTGGATTTGATTAAATTTTCTTCATTTTTAATAATTTTGAAACATTTGGGGAGGGGGGGGAATGGGCTAGCTAGCTTACTCCGTCCTGCTTGTACATCATGATGACATTTGTGAATTATATGCCAGCAAACACCTTATTTTGAAAACAAGCCTCACAGAAACACTTAAAATAAAATAAATGGGAACAATAAAAACACATGATTTGTTTGATCAAATGTGTTTAAAATAAGTAAACACTGCCAAAGTCTAATCAGTCAACAACCTTATAATGTTATGCCATTTTTACGTACCTGAGTTTTTAAACTAGTGCACGGTTCAATTCCACATAAGTCACATTTACGGCCTCGGAGATTGTTCACCATCACCTGCCCGAACCGGTCCTGCATGTTCACTTGTTCGTAATTAACAAAGAATACCGAGTCAAACTTTCCCGAGATCCAGGACAGTAGTTCGCTTGACTTGGCAGCTGACATGTACCCCAGCACCCACTCAGCAAGGAACAGTGTTGGTAAACTGCAGGGAACCAAATACAGTTGATTAGTAAATTGTTTACCATCATATCATATTAATACTTGCAGTACACCACATGGATAGTTCTGAAAAGCACTGTTGCTGTCTCTTATACACATCTAGATGTGTATAAGAGACAGGTGGTTGGGCTAAGGTGAGAAAATTTATGATTTTGGCACCTCTAGATGGCTGGAAATGGCATTCTCATACCTGGATTTGATTAAATTTTCTTCATTTTTAATAATTTTGAAACATTTGGGGAGGGGGGGGAATGGGCTAGCTAGCTTACTCCGTCCTGCTTGTACATCATGATGACATTTGTGAATTATATGCCAGCAAACACCTTATTTTGAAAACAAGCCTCACAGAAACACTTAAAATAAAATAAATGGGAACAATAAAAACACATGATTTGTTTGATCAAATGTGTTTAAAATAAGTAAACACTGCCAAAGTCTAATCAGTCAACAACCTTATAATGTTATGCCATTTTTACGTACCTGAGTTTTTAAACTAGTGCACGGTTCAATTCCACATAAGTCACATTTACGGCCTCGGAGATTGTTCACCATCACCTGCCCGAACCGGTCCTGCATGTTCACTTGTTCGTAATTAACAAAGAATACCGAGTCAAACTTTCCCGAGATCCAGGACAGTAGTTCGCTTGACTTGGCAGCTGACATGTACACCAGCACACATTCAGCAAGGAACAGTGTTGGTAAACTGCAGGGAACCAAATACAGTTGATTAGTAAATTGTTTACCATCATATCATATTAATACTTGTGGTACACCACATGGATAGTTCTGAAAGCACTATTGTTGTTGGTTGAGAATATCTTGACGTTTCGATTGAGTTGCTTCAATCGTCTTCAGGAGAATAGTATCTGCAGATATCCCAAAATAGTAAAGTACTTGGATGGACCGTCATTAAACATGATCCGTTGCGTGCGCATGTTTTGCATTCTCCATACAACTGCGTTGGTCAACAACCATTCGGCGCAGTGAGTGATCGGTCTTACTTTACCACACAGCAGGATTAGGATGGTTGTCTTCAGGGGCGGATTGCTATAAGCGGTCTTTAGACAGTCTTAATGGTTAGCCTGCTATAATTGTGACGTCACTACTGGTCTATGATTACAAACCATTGCTATACCGCGGTCTAACCAGTTACCCGTCTTAAATTTTAAAGCCTACTCGGGGGAGACTTAAAATGGTCTTAAATCATTTTCGTCATGGCTTCTGCTGATTAATTCAACAGTGCAATGGCAAGACCTAGGCCTAGATCGTGAAAGTCGAAGAATCGAACGACGAATACTCCGCACACTTCTCAGCGTCTGTAAAAATAGGTCTACATTTATTTACGTTCATTTTGATACATTTTGCCTGCGTCGAGCACGCATGATGTCGCCCTCAATCTTACGTTACCAAGGTGTGATTGTTTGCTTTCCAATACTCAAAGCGGTCTTAGGGAAGACTGTTTTATAGCAATGGTCTTAGAGGAATGACTTTAGTAAGACTGTCTAAGTGATAAACTCGGCTTTATTTGAGAAGTTAAGACTACCAGTTAAGACTGTTTTATAGCAATCCGCCCCAGGTGCACAGAACAATTAAATTGACATAATAATAAACATAAAATCTTGCAAAAAATAATGATTACAATGATGTATATTGTATTATGAGAATGTAAATATAAAAGGAAAATTCTTCACCTGTTATCAATTCCACAACTTTTTAATTTGTCTTCAAATTCTTCTAAATTTCGCAAATCAGCCCATACTATGTGATAATGCTTAGAGTGTAATTCAGCATCTCCTATTAAAGAAATAAAACAGAGACAGTGGAATGCAACTCTCAACTCTCCTGTACATTGGGCTTTTGTCTCTATGGGCCAGGTGCAGCGCCAGCGGATGGAACACTGATCGAGAGATTTTGAGCGACACCCAACAACGCCCACTTTTTTGGTCGGAGACATTGCCCCAACCCTGGTGCCACCACTGCTATGGGCAGGCAATTTAAATATAAATGGATATCTGGATGGAGGTAAATTCATAGAATGCATTGGTAGTCAAATATCATGACTAGGTATACTCCACAAAGGTGACATGGATGGAGTCTGGGATACTAAAACTCAGCAATTCCACCACCCTTGTGCATTCCCTGCCCTTGTGCATTCCCCCACCCACCCCTTCATTGTTTTTCTCCCTGTTTTTGTTGAAATTCTGGATCCAAAGGTAGTTGGATGCACATTAAAATTAATCAAATTCTTGTTGAGTATGTTAAAATATCAATGCATTACCAATTAGTACATGTTCCCTTCCTCCACTAATCTCAATTAGTGGTGACATTAACTTGTCCCTTGATCGAATCTTTTGACATTTTCTACTCGTCACGGGCCTGAAGTCAACCTCGATGTAACTTGTGGGCAACAATTTCGCATCCTAGTAAACAAAAGTGGAAAGAAAAGAGGAATAAATTTACAGGATATAACATAATAATATCAATAATTATGAAATGTTAACAGTAATAAGAGTAAATAAACAGGAGCTGCTTCATCAATTTAACAAGACAAACCTTCAACCTCCATAGGGCGGTATCAAAGCCTGCTCCGAGGCTCACTACTTGTCCTTTACATTCAGTCATCCTAAGAAATTTTTCCAACAGAATTCGTATTCCTTCCATACGGGCATAATATCCTGTATAGTACAAAATATAAAAATGTTATTTAATAGTTATAATTTTTGTTTTTTTATGGCATGTGTTACCAGCAGCAGAGGTGAATTTAGGGAGGCCCCCCCCCACTCCACCCCTGTTTGCCAATAACCATTTTTATACCCCCCACCCCTGTTTGGCCAATGCCATTTTTATTTAACAAAATATATTAAAAGGATACAAATA